CTTGAAATCCATAGGAGATGCAACTTTAACACCATTCTTTGAAAGGAACCAAGATAATCCACTGTTTCCATGACGTAACTCAACAACATCAGGATGATCATCATTACAGAAGAAAAAGGACTGTTCTCCAAATTCGGCATCAACATACAGTTCGTGATCTTCACGTAAGTTCTCCGGATTCTCATCGTCTAATGCCGGAATGGAAACATCATGCCACTCATCGTGATCACGTCTAACCTTTGACTGATTCACACGTATCACTGCCTTACCAGTATTGGCTTGGACCATAGCTCCTTCTTGTCCAAGTACTGTGGCACGAACCCAACGTCCTTTATCCTTGAACTTTGATGAATCCTGAGTCCAAACAAAAACCTTCTCTCCTTGGAAATAAGGACCGTCACTTGGCATAGTCCTTCTTGCAAGATCTGCTCGAAGGTCCTGAGCTTGTCGTGCTTCTTGATGAGCTCTCAAAGCCACACGTTGTAGTTCCAAATTTGTACGATCTTGTGCGGCGGCATTAGCTGACAATTGCTCAGGGCTTGCGGTCTCCAGGTCAAAAAGATCTGGTGGACGTCTTCCAGTTGCTATCTCTATTGGTGAATATCCACTGATAGTCAACTGACAATTTCTTGCCCAAACTACCTTCTTGACCACTTCTCTGACCGTAACACCACGAAAACGTGGGTCATCCAGATCTACCTTCATAACATGCCACATACGTTTGAACAAACGTACAGCTGTCTCTGCTCGGTTCGGCCAAGGAGTTCTTGGCCCACAAGGACATTGTTGTATACCATGGAACCTGTAGTATTCAACAAAAGCATCGGTGAAAAAGGCTTCGTCTCCTACGATGGCCTTTGGAACACAGTTGTTCTCATCAGACCACTGCCTCAATGCTTGGATGGTGGTTTGATCTATGAGGTCTTTCTGTGCCGTAGCCCAGAGAAGATTTGTGGCACCATCAAGAACAAGTAGAATGATATACTTGTTCTTGTGAAGTTCAACCTCACAATGATCAGCAAAAACAACATCACCAAAACATGAAGCTCTAATACCGGAGACTCTGGCTCGCGGCGGAGGTGCCACTGAAGTGTTACAAACACGGCAGTTCCTGACAACTGATTCATACTTCTCTAAAACAGAGTCAGGAAGCTTCAACATAGAAACACGTCTACGAAACTGAGTAGGACTCATATGGTAGTGCTTCACATGAAGCTTATAAAGCTCTACCTTGTCCTCCAGTCTCTGTAACATCTTCCTATATGCCGGTGTCATTGCAACAACTTCACTACCAGGTAATGGGATTGAAATCCGCCTAGGCTCAAGAGCGCCATCACCTGGTTCAAGTGGTTCATGTTTATCACTTGATGGTCCTTTTGATGCTTTAGGAATTTCTACAAGTTCACCTTCTGGCCTCTCAGGTGGTTCTGAGGGAGCATACTCCTCAAGATCATCACCCTTTAAATCATTCTGAGGCTCAGATGGTTTTGACTTGTGTCCTTTCCAAAATGGATCAAAACCCTTGGAAGTATACCGAAACTTTGGCGGCACGGGCTTTTCCGCGGCACTGGCTGGTGCACCTTCCTTCTCTGACGAGAAGCCTGGTTCCCTGTCCTTTGCAATGGGAACCTTCTCTGAGGAGGAGCGCACCACTGCATCGGGATCACCAATGCCACGGTGCTCAATGCCAGCCTTCCTGATCTTTAGATCTGGAATTTTGGCATCTGGCTTAAATTTAAAAATTGTTCTACCACGCCATTCATAGCCAAGTTGTAGGTCCTTCCATTTTGCCTTGCGCCAATCATCTGTCTTCTTGATTTCTTCTCCTCCTGCTTTCTTCTTGATGATTGTCAGTCGCAAGTCTTCCAGCAAGTCAGTGTCTACAGGACAGGACTTAGTTGCTGGGAAAAGAATTTTCCTGTAATCCTTGTGGTGACGTATCAGTTCTCTCTTGTGAACATCTACTTCCCAGAAATCAACCACAGGATATGCATGCTCAGCTTCACCTTCATCACTATTGTGTTCAACAGAAATATGGCCATATTCATAGTGAGTGAGGTGAGAGTAAAAACTCTTCTCACGCTGAGTCTGCCAACGCACGTCAGACAGATACCATGCAATATCTTGGAAGTCCAACGCAAGATGAGTACTGGCTGCAACCTTCAACTCCAAAAATTTGATACCAAGAGGCACCGATGTCAGATAAGCATGTCGAGGTGTCAGCCTGAGTTCAAAGCCTAAGTTCCTCATCTGTGGCAAGCTCATAAGCAAAGGGACTTCTCCTTCTTCCACTATGTCGAACTCTGTTTGGTGGATCGTCCATGCACGATCATACATGTAAATCACCAGTTTCTGAGAGCAAGTAGCCTTCTGGGAATTGGCAAAGTAAAACTTGCTCTTGGTAGACTCAAAGGAGTACCATAATCCACAATCTGGGTGATTGTCGACATAGTTGCAAAAATGGTCGACTGCTCGCCTTGATCCCATAGCTCTAGTGCATCCAATGTCCAGGATTGCAATAGTTGGCGGGAAGCGATTCTCAGTCAAAAATGAAATGGCCTGCATCTCCTTCACTTCTTCCTCAGCGCTCATAAGCGCAAAACCATCAGCGCTCATAAGCGCAAAGCCATCAGCGCTCATAAGCGCAAGGCCATCAGGAGCCTTTGTGAGCATCTCCTTTGACAAAGAGTACCTCACAGTGGCACTCATGTCATCAAAGATCGTCTCACCATTGTTGACCACGCAGTCAGCTTCATCTTGGCATGAGGTCATCATGCCTGACAGCAAGTCCACCTCACTGTCATGGACTTCAGCTGCTGCTGTCACACAATGTGCTAAGAAAACTTGTTGACCTCCTGATGCTTGTGAAGTTCTTGAAGGTGCAGGTAAAGAACGTGGCTGTTGTTGATTTGCATAGTTTGCATCTTGTTTGCCATCTCCTTTATCTTTTCCTTTTCCTTTCTTGCCTTTTCTCTTGCCTTTTCCTTTTCCTTTGTGGGAAAACCATGCTTCTTCAAGTTGTTGCCAAAAGTCATTGGCATCATCATATTCTCCTTGAAGATAGTCATTCATATCCTCGGCAAGAATGGCATCATATGCTCCTTGGGTTGACTCCCAAGTGTCCTCATAAGGATTCTCTTCAAAGTACTCTTCTGGATATGTTGTCTGTTGCTCATCAGCAAAATGGCCTTTACCTCGTCTCTTTCCTTTTCCTTTTCCACGAGGTCTGACGAATCTGCGGCCTGATCTTCCTTTTCCTTTTCCTTTTCTTCTACCTTTTCCTTTGCCTTTTCTGGCTCTTCTTCCTTGGAATCTCCTTTGGAACCACGAGAAGTTTTGATCATCATATACCCAAAAGACATCGTCCAGGGCATCTAAAAATCCTTCTGTTCCATCTTCTTCATCTTCGGCCCAATAGCCAAATGTACCATCGAGTTCTCCTTCGTCTAGTACGAGAAATGATCTTCTACCTCCAGCACCTGTCGGCTGCATCAATGGATTGTCTACTGAAGTCTTTGTCGTGCAGAACATCTCGATGAACACTGTCCTCAACTCTGTTGTGGTGTATTGCTGCAGGTACCTGCCACGATGAGTCATCAACGAAGTCAAAGTGTTTCGCTGGTCCTGAGACAAATCTGCAAGGGACAGCATGAGTAGGGCAATGAGATTCTCTCCTAAAGGAAAATCATTCTGATGAAGAATTCTCATATTGCCATTGACATTCTGCATGATTTCCTGAATCCTTTCTGCCGTTGGTGCTACTCCAGTCAACGCTGCATCTGCCTGCATCTGAGCAAGGACTTGGGGATGTGCTTGAGTGACTGGTTCTAACATGTCCATCCAACTGCTCATAAGCCTTTGGAGTAAAATCTGGAATCTTGTCATCCATTTCATCATGTCAGCTGATCCTCGATTGAATCGCACGAATTGCATAAACCTGTATAGGAATACATTGGTTGATCCTTTCACGAAATATGGTCGTAGTACTCGTTTGAAGTATTCTACTCCTGCTCCTGGTGGCTCATTAGCCTTCAATGAATCTCTGTCTAATACACGTTTGTATACTGCTGCTTCTCCTTCTAATCTGTTTCTCAAAGCTGGTCCTCTCTTCTCATCTTCCAGCTCGGTGATATCACACCAATCGTCTATGGCATCCTCATAGGAAAACCATGAAGTCTTTCCATCATAAGATGGGGGCACCTTTGTAGTGACCTGTGTTGTCATTGCTATTGCTGCTGGTTCTCTTCTCACATGCCTATTCACGTAGGCTGCTGGCTCATAAGCCACATCCGCATCAGGCTCTTCCCAGTCGTCTATCCAATCCATGGCCGTTTGCCCACAAGCAATTCTATGCCTAGGAAAGGAGCTCACCTGGGTCTTCCAGGATCACTGCTCCGCTACCACTGAAAGAGTGACTAGGGCGTACACGGTAGAGGTGCAGACCGCTAGTGTCTTTTGCTCTCGCAGAGTCTTATCCTTAGGTCCATTGACCCTCTCTTGAGCCTTGAAGCAGTCAAGCATGGACACACTATATCAGCTGTTGGAGTGGAACCCTGTACAGGTAGGCTCTACTTTTCAGGGGGTGGGGGGTGGGGTGGGTTGCAGTTGGCAACCAGACAGTGCAGACTAGTCGTAGCGATGGCCTCCAACCTACTAGCTCTGACACGCATTCCGAAGCGATACCGTTCCCGCGTTCCGAAGCGAACTATTTTCTGCGTTCCGAAGCGACTCCCTCGCCCCCTTTATGGTGGTCAAATCAACTTGGCAACTTTTTAGTGTCCCAAGTACGGGTGGAAGCTGAACAATCTCCAAAGCTCTGTACGAAGTTCGATTTTCCATCCATGTATGGATGTGCTTAAGGTTAATAAAACATTAATGTTCAGTTCTATTAACCTATGATAATCATTGATAATCTATGACTCCATGTCGATCTGAAAAAATAATGAGTAACCCAAATGAATTCTGTTGCAGGTGTCTGAAATCGGTGACAACGCCCTAGCCTATGCGAGCAGCCGCCCGCTCGCGAGTAGCACGTGGCCCTGGACATGGTTGTGCTGCGTGACAAGAAACATGTCCGATCATCCATGTCGTGTCAATTTCAGACCATTGATACAAGTCGCACGAGTTTTCGGGAATTCCCCTGATCCTGGAAGGGCAAGGAGCTGCAGGGGGCTACAGGCACTGCTGGAAAGATGAGTCTCTATAGAGACCGGCAGCAAAGAGATCGGGCAGTACCTGCTTCGAAGGTGTGTTTGGAGCCTCTTAAAGCCTTGGTCTTTCAGAGTCTCTCACCCTCTGAAGAAAACGTATATTCTTGTGGATCCGGCGAATCGTCCAGTCTTGCAATCGCTGTGAAGTGGCTTCTTCCGCTCGTGACGTCCACCCGCCCGTCCTGTGACCGGGTGCCCAAGGCTCCCTCGGTGGACTCCTAAAAAGGTGGAGCAAAGAAAAGACATCTGTTGTTATTTGCTGTTTTTCAGGGGAACCGTTAGTAACTAGCATGGCTGTGTGGATGTATGTAGCTGTTTGGGGCTTATGTTGTCTCTAATTATTTCGAAGATGAGTCAGGTCAAACAATTGCAATACAGTGACGAACATCCTTACATACAATTACATATAGGAAAATCTGCCGATAATTAATAAAGATGTTAGACTGGTTGGTTGGTGGTTTCAACTCAATTTGAAAAATACTATCAAAGGATTCAATGATGATTCAATCATCCTACCAAGTAAAGGCTGAAAGTAAAAAAACTGAAAGTCTTCGCCTTCGCTCCACAATCTCCATCCAGCTGTTTTTGAGCAAAACGTAAGAAAACAACATCCTATGGCACCTGGTAGAAGAATCCCACGTCTTATTTCTGCAAAGCCTCGTGATGTACATCGTTGTGCTCACGTGAGCTCTGAGCTCTGTCTGTTTTGTCTATTAAATGTCAATAGAAGTAATGCTCATTGCATTGTTCATGCATATCTTCTCTTGATCTTCGCATATGCGCGTTCTGCATCTTCTGCCTCGATCCGCTCGTGTCCTGCGTCTTCTCGTGTCCGCCGTGCGGACAGCTTTTCTGCGGCGCCGTGGACGGCGTTCACTCCGCGTTCAGCGACTGCGCGGCACCACCGGTGGACGCGATGATCCGAAGGAGTGACCCCCATGGAGTGCGAGGATGAGGGAGTTGACCCCCCTCATTACATAGTGGCCATTGCCATACTGATAACAGAACCAGATGATGTTGATGTCTGTATGGAGTTCGAACCATGGTTTTTGGTTTGCTTTGAAACAGGGGCCATGCAATTGCCAATGCCATCCACTTCCATGTGATGTGTTCGTCAGAGTGGTGTCCATTGTTTTTTTGCCACCATTCTTTTTTGGGGGGAGGGTTGCCTTCGCACACGCATCATGAAGCATCAGAACGCAGAACGCAGAACGCCAACAGCATTTGTGGAAGTCAGTCTTATCACATGCTTTGAATTTGGCTCCAAGACTCCCCGTCTCACTTTGATACTGCCAACTCTTTCTTATCAATTCTCCACCAAGCTGCTGCCACCTGCCCATCTTTCTGAACGAGTATTTTTGTCGACTCATGTTGTAGCCATGTTCCCGAATGTTGCCATCCCATCCCTGTGCCACCCCGCCGCTCCCATCTCATCCCTTGGCCCTGGACGGAACGGCCTGGCCTGCTGAGAGGGCCAGTGCTGGCACATGTGGTCGTCGCACACCTGCGGTACCTGCAAGGTTCGGGGCCCTGGTGTTGTCTCAAAAAACATGGCAAGAATCCATACCGAGCGGTTTCTGATGCTCTCCCAGTCTAAGACTCCCTAGACCGAAACCTACGCAAATGAGAAAGCTGTATCATCTGTATATATCTCTGCATCTTCTTTTTGTTTGAAGCACCAGGTTGTTGAGGGTGCGTGCAAGTAACTTGTCAATCGGTAGAAAAGCACTGTAGCCACACCTGCCCCATTCATCACTTGGCCCCAGGCAAAGGCACTTGGTGCCCCTCCATTGTCTCTGCAATTTGTCAGTGCTCACTAAGCTTCCCTTTGGGCCCCGGGCCCCCTGACCAAAATTATGGTCCTGCACCCCCATGACCCGCCCTTATAAATAGTTATATATCAGGGCCCCCCCAGAGTGTTAAAAATCCCAATAGCCCAATGATTCCACTGGCAGAAGCTGCCGTGTGGAAGACTTAACCCAAAGGAGATGTGCAAGAAAGGCTCTGGCATGCTGTGGCCACCAGATTTCGCGCGTTCCCAAGTCGAAGAATCCGAGGGTTTCGTGTCGCCTGCAGATGGACGGCTACCAGTTCCACTTGCGGCTCGGCAAGGCAAAGGTCCTAGAGATTGGCGAAAAAACGACTCCGTATGAAAACCCCTCATGATGACTCACATGGAACCTGAAAACCAATGAAAACCACTGGTTTGTAGAGGAATACCATCTTCCAGGGGGCCAGGACGTCAGGGTCCATGTGAGCTTTTCGGAGCATTATACCAGCTATCGCAAGCCCTGCGCCCCAGCGCGCGACTCTGGCGACCGCCGTGGAGCAAACTCACCGTTCGACAGCCTTCAGCCGACGGCATTCAGCTCTTTCCCTTTCAGTCACAGGGCTGCGTTCATGATTTCATGTGCTTTCTTGCAAGAGAAGCCAATGAAGCCAAGCAAAAAAAGAACTGCAGGGATTGGTGTCTTAAGAGGGAGAAAGGATTGATTCGAAGTCGGTCCGAGTCGGGGGATCGAGTGGACTGCGGAGTCCCAAACTCTTAACAGGGCTGGGTTAAAAGCACCCTGGTTGATTATGCGAGGTTGAGGTCAGATTGCTCAACCCATGGGCTTGCTGGAAGTTGGGTTCCTCACAAACGATTCGGACAGCTCAGGCTGCTTCAGTCTCCTTCACTGTCTGCAGGTCGTGGAGCTTCGCATCGTGTGGCTCCTGGCAAGCAGCTGGCGCCAACGATCAATGTGGCACTGAAACGGTTGGAGGCCATCACTAATTCGCTTGGAGGCCATTGCTTGTAATGTAGACTCTTGATTAATACCCCCCCCTTTTGAATTGAACATCCTCTTCATATGGGTGGTGTATGGTCCTCAAGAGTCTACATTAGGTCGGATATCACTTCGATGTCTCTGCCTGATCGCTCTCTGACCGATCTCTGTCTGTCCTGGATGTCGAGCTTGGTTGGGCCCAGCCGACCCTGCAGGGTGAGGAGGTGGAGCCGGCATTGAAGTACACATGAGTGACGCACCGGTGGGATCCGGTGGGTGTGGTCTCAAAATTAAACCAACAAAAACAACATTGCCTAGTGACTAGGGAGGTTTACTATATAGATAAAGGGCATTGAGAAAACACGGTTTTCATGGTTAATCCCAATGAATCCACGGGCCTGACGCAATCACATGACTTTCTCTGAAACCAGGTTCCAGTTCTTGCTCGTTTCTCTATAAGAACCCAGATAGTTGCCAGATTTCTTTATACAGGTTTCTAAATGCTGCCTGACGCTGCGTGTGTCTAAAGTCTAAAGCTATGTATATTGTTGTTATATGTTTTTACTACTCTTTTGCCAGTTTGCAGCTAGAACCCACCAACCCAGCTTTTGCAAGAATCACTTGACTCACTTAGTGGCGGATGCTGCCCGCTTTCACTTCGCTGCTTCGCCTGAGACCACGGGGCGGTGCTTCAGCAGCGCCTTTCCGGGTCGGCGGGGTGATGAAAAGAACGGAATGAACGAAGGGCCTTTTTGAGTGTCAGGTGTGAACCAGAATCACGATAGACTAGTGCTTCTATGTGCTTCTTTTGTTCAGTTGTTCTGCTTGTCTTGGCGTTCGAAGAGTACAAAATCAGTGTTGTGTTGCATAGTCTATGAGCAGCCAATGGTGTAGGATGTGATAGGATATGTTTCTTTGATTTTTTAACGGGGTGTCTGTGTGATCTACCCACATCAACCAGTTTGACTTCTTTGGACACGCCCGGTCGTCATGTTCACAAACTCATCACTCGTTTAACTGAAAAAGGCAGGCTTGGTGCGCCTCACAGTCTTGGCATGGCAACAAGATCTTGAGTCAAGGCATTTTTTGAGGTGCGTTTTCGCCAGAGAATGTCAATCTTCACCGAGACATCATCAGCAGTCATTACCAAAAGACACAAGTGCAGTGTCCCGTCGAAACATGTCCAGCGCTTGAAAACGGCTTAGCAAAAGCTTTCACCGTTGGCCATCGAGAGATTCTGTTCATGTCCAGTTTCCAAACATGGTCTTTTGGAGCTAGAACTAGACCTGATCAATGGCAAAGGAACACAGGGTGTGACAATCCCACACAGACATGCAGCATGCGTGAACATTCACATCGTCACGGGCTCAGGCTCGGCAGACTCAGGCTCGGCCTTCAACCGGTCCTCGCGAGGAGAAGACGAAATGATCCGAGAGGGGTCGAACTGGAGAAGATTCCCAAGACGATCTGCAAGTTTGTTACCTTTTCTTACTGCCATCTATTCGAGGGGTTACGTGAGAAACAGTAGCTGGTAGCCTGCTGTGACACATGTGGGAACATATTCTGACAGGTTGCAAAGGTTTAGAGAATACTGAGGCTTGACATGGCTTGTCCAAAATTCACGCACTGCTTGACAGAACTATTCCTCCAAGAATTGCACCAAAGACATCCAAAAACAACTCCATAGGCAAGCCATGCAGTGGGCCTGGATACTTGGAGTGCTGTGCTGTGAAACATCTTTGCCGTGCCATGTTTCCAGCCTGGCCGTGCCATGTCTCAGCCCCATGAAGGTCCCAGGGTCAGAAAGTCCACCTCCACACGAGGTCCATTCAACAGTAGCAGTAGCAGCTGTCTATTCCGTGCTACCAGTATCGTCAGGTATCCATGGCCACCGGGAAAGATCTCATTTTTCCGAAGACCAAACAGGTTGTGCCATCCATGTAAATAGCTTCCGTGTCAAAACACCTCACAGTTAAATAGCTTTCGGTGCCATCCACGTAACCATGTTTGTTTGCAGGGTACCCTTGAACGATCGACTCCTTGATCTCCGCTTCATCACTCGAGACTGAAATACGACCTGTGCGCCGTTTTGGCCAGGCACAGTACCGGCAGGAATATTATACCGCAGAACATCTTGACGTTCTCAGCGTGGCGATTCCAATATGTTCTACTTAAAGTAGACCAGTTTACCTTTGCCCGAAAGGATTTGTTGCTGCAGTTATATAAAACGTGTTGTGCTCCATGATTGGAACTCTGCAGCCCATCAAGACCACTCTCTTATTCAGATCGAATCCGATTTGGTGTAATCCTTATATCGAACAGGTCCAACGGACAACGTACAAACTAAAAGCAAGAGTCAATTCAGCAACAATACAACATGCCACTTGAAGGTCAAATTCGGTGGAATGGTACTGCATCAGTGGACTTTGCGTCATGACATCTGCATCTGCATGTGTGTATATATATACATACACATACACACACACACATACCTTCAACAGCCTCCATAACAGCCAATCCGAAAACTCCGTCACATGTTCGTGGAAATTGATTCGTGAAATTGACGAACTGGAATCCAATGTGGAGATGTCCCATTCCCACTGATAGTGGATGGTGTAGTGACTGCTGCTACACATGGTCATGATCATGACCATCATAAACATATTACCATAGATTAACATATATTAACATACTAAAATAATGGTCAGAATGGGTTTTAATATAAATATATATGTTCACCAATGACTTTGGGGAGAATGGGGCAACCCCCTTTTAACAACTGGACCGTGGTCTTCTTGAGGTTTTCTCTGCTCTTCTATAGGAAAGTCTCGGTTGAGCTGTTGATGCGCTAGGACGCTAGGAGCGTTCGGACGCTACTAGGGGCTCCTGGCCTTACTACTAGGAGCAAGGACGCTCCAAGTTCTCAACATGTCTCTTTTCAGGTTGATCGGCACGAACAACTCGATCCCGCGCCTGGGGACTCAGGCTCTAGCTCCTGGCAGGTGTTTGGCGTGTTTGGCGTTTGGCCATGCGAGGAAACAAGCCCCTAGTAGCGTCCGATCGCTCCTAGTAGCGATGCCAGGAGCCCCTAGTAGCTTCTTAAACTACTTTGAATGAAAGACTATCACGCCGTTGGTCTTTCTCTTCAAAGCCCTCTACTCAATGTGAAGGTCTATGTGGAGGTGGGACCATGTTATGCCTTTTGAACCCAAGGCCATCGGAAAGTCATATGCTTTTCTTCACCAAGTGTTTAGGTCATATACTCAATAAGAAGTCAAGAACGCTAAAACCTTGCTCCAAACAGTGACAGATTTGAACATCCATGCCCAGTGAGTCAAGGCCAGGATATTGGTATAAATATTACAATATAACTATATCAATACAGTATAACTATACTATAATCTCAATCAACCAAATGACTGTGAGCCCACCCCCAGGATGCTGGTTGACCTCTCAAGGCATCACGTTGCAAGTCTGGTAAATATGCTTTGAGTCAACAAAAACACAAATCCCCATACACTCCCTGGAACTAACCTGGAAGCGGATGGCATGGCCTCTAGGAAGACTACTTTCCTGTACGAACAGGGGGGGTTCCACTTCCATGTATATAAGCTCCAGGACGAGTATTGAAAAGGCTTCGCTCTTTTCCCGCTCCTCACCAGAGGAGGCCGGCACTTCAGAGAGCCTCAGCAAACGGACAGTGTCGAAAACTGAGGGGATCAGCCAAGTCAAACCCGGCTAAACGCAGTAGCTTTTGAGTCGCTGTTACCTGCAACTGGGTCTGACCCGGCTGGCTACGACGTAGGGAGAGAGAAGCACTCACTGTAGGACGAGTGATCCTGGTTCCTGCGACCAGGTGAAACGGCTCAGGTGATGATGACGTCGTCCCTTCAAACGATGACCGTACCTCATTGACCCCGAAACACATCGTTCACGGTGACTCCAAGATGGAGAACTGCTGGTTGTCTCGTCCATCAAAGGCCAGGGGATTGTATTCTTAACAGCGGCAAAATGCATACTGTATCATACTGATGCATTGTTCTCAGCCTCCGGCAAAATTATTTGATCCATTAAACATGGCATATAAAAACTTATCATAGGAAATGCCTCTGCCAGCCGTCTGCCACCGTTCCTACCAAGGTCGACACATGAGGAAGTCAGTCTTGGCTGAGAGGAACTCCTGCGCCCAAGCGCGGGCATTGTGGAGGTCGACAAAGGTTGCAGTCGGGCATTGTAAAGCAGCATGCATACTACGGCCATTATCCGGCTATTCCATTGTTTTCTTCACTGCATGCTGTCCTTCTTGAGAATTGACTTTCCACTCACACCGTGATCTTAAACGGGCGTAAATTGATGAAAACGGGTCAAGCAAATACAAACGACTCACTGTCCGGGCACCACCCGAGGGGAGGATTGAAACAGCGTTCCCCACGGCCGCACTTCAGCAAAACACTGCGTGGATCGCATCGACTCGTGCATGAAAAGTTCTCGATGATCATGAACAGTTCTTGAGGATCTTGGATGGTGACATGTCAACATTGTCCTGCACATCATGCATATATGTAATCATATGTACCTACACACCCATTCTTGGGGGCACGCCATCCCCTCAGGATACCCAGCCGATGAAACATCTACAGTTTACAGTCAATACCTCAACCTATCTAAGAAGTTGAGGTTTGCCTGCCCTGCCTGTTGTAGTAGCAAGTTTGCCAGGTCTTCTTCCAAAGACAGCAAACCTGCGATATCCATTCATCCGCTCTGTCTGCGGCTCTGTCTGCATCCGCTCCGCAGCTCCTCATCTTTGAGCCAAGTCTCTGGCACCAAGTGATTTGCTCCTCACATCTGAGGCGAAACGGACGGCTGCGAGGCCATAAGAATGCCGGGACGGAGGTCATGTTGATCTGTACCTATTGAGCACCTTTTGGGGGTATACCTCGTAGGGAGACCCCCAAGGTGGGATGTCCCTCACGTTCCCACTTCAATACAAATACAATCAAGTACATGCATCTGAAATGCATATTATCAGTCATCTGATCTTATATACATATATTACTAGGCTAGCAATATACATAAACGTCTGGTGCCCTTGGTCATTGTCATTGACCAAAAGAATTGAGAAATGAGGACACCCCTCCGACTGCTTTGGAGTCGCCTTTGTTCTCTGAATATCGACAGGAGACTTCAGGCGTTCATTGGCCTTGTGATATATTTTTTGGTTTGCAGCAAGCCCTTCATTTGTGAGGGTTGACAAGGATTATGAAGGCATTGAGTGGAAAACTGTACTTGACTCTCACAACAAAGAAGCGCTACAGTCAGTTGTGGGTCCCATTCTGAGGTGGTTGCAGTAGTCTGAGTGGAAAGCTACATCGTCCACAAATGGGCTCCAGCAACACCGGATACTGCCAGTCGCTCCTGTGCTGGAGCTGGACCAAGCAACTGCCTTGGAACGGAGGGAGGATCTGAAGCCTCTCATCTGATAGTAAGGCTTAGTAAGGAAGGATGATGAACAAAATGGATGAACGGATGGATGGAATGGATGGCCACCATGGTGGATATGGTGAAGTACGCATCACACATGAGACAATGATGAGAATCAATCCCTACAACAGATCCCAAACTCCTACACGGCGCCATAGCAACAGAACCTTCACGCAGCACTTTCTGGAGAAAGGTTCAACACTGACCCCTTCAGATCAAGCTTGGCCGAAACACCCCAAAAAGGTTGCAAACCCTGGCAACCCTCTGTGAATCGCGTCGCACCTCGAATCACCATGCCGGTGTTACCCATGAATGAAGTCCTCCCATCCTTCTGAATGGCCAATTCAGAAGCTTCAAAGTTGGATGATTGGGTGATGCATGGTGATACTATGGGGTGGGTGGGAGTGTGGAACTTAGGGATGTCCAACCCCCCCCTCCACCTATCCTGTCCAGTCCTATCCCCTTCTCCGTGCTCCGGCCGAGCGGGTCAGCTCTTCTGCTTCTGACGGTGTGATGGCCTGGCATCGCGAAGATCACGCCGTTCAACGGGCCTCGACAAGGGTGTTTTCTAGATCTAAGGAATCTAAGGACTTCCTTGATTCTCTGCAAGGAAGTCCCAAATGTTCCAGCTCAAAGACTCAAAAGTCCTCTTCGAGGCGATAAGGTGTGAGGTATTTGTGGATTTGAGAAAAAGCGGTGATGGGTCCACAAAGCCACCGAAGTCTTTAGCGGCTTCCACCAAACACATGAAACACCATAACATTACGGTTCGAGATGGTTCGAGCAATCCTTTCCACGTCGGAACAACCATTGAATCCAGGAGAACAACAACAGGGAGACTTACAGGAAACTAGTCATCGGGACCAGTGACCAGTGAAGCAATACCTTTGCTTAGAATCTAATTAACATTTGGATATCTGTTAGTATTGCAATCTTCCTCTCTAAGAGCAGGGGTTGCTAGCTTCATGTTTACTGAGGTTTACATGAACACAAAGAATCACATCCAAGCCACCAAAATCCCAGGCGTCCCAATGATACCTTCATTGGGGTGGATTTAGTGGTCAGTGTACCTTAACCTTACATCTTAGATAGATGGTCAAGGATTTGGTGTTGTAACATGTCGCAACCCTTAACGTTGCTGTTTTCGCCACATAACTCCCATGCACCCCAGTTGATGTGGGACCCTTCAGCCATTTCAGTCCCAAACGCGATTCAGCCATTTCAGCCTCCACGACATAGGAACGGGATCGACAACCTTGCCGGAAGCTGACTTTGTTTTGACCCCCTCAGTTTGTGGAACATATAGGTTAACCGAACTTTCCAGCTGAACCGAACTTTCCAGCTGTTGTTGTTTTAGTGGAGAAACCAATCCAACAGAGTTTTGCAGGTTATCCACTGACTGGGTAGGTATCGGACCCTGACTACTGCTTGGCTACCTAAAGTCCTAAAGTAATTATCTCTTGCAAACAGTCACTGAGCACCAAGGTGAGAATGATTGAGGATACCTCCAGAGGCTGGGCCACGCAATTCCAAGGCATGAGCTTCCATTGGGCGAGAATTCATTATTTGGAGATATTTGGAGACATGTTCATTCATGTGATCTTGCCTGATCTGCTTTGCCGATCAGAGAAAATCATGCAGAATCCGAGCATGTAACTTCTTACGAGTGGCCACCATAAACGATGACCCATGCCGTCGGCACTCTTGTCCAATCTGCCGCCCAAATCCGCCCTGATCGGGCTCCCCTGCTCGCCGAACGTGCTCGAGCAGCTTGTGCCACGGCCCTGATGAATCAGATCGGAACGGCCCGACCCGGCCAGCTGGGCTGAGACTGAGAGGCTGTGGTTTTCTGGTTGGTTCATCATGGGTCCTTTGATGGTGATAAGCGGCGGTGGTTTCTTGATCCGCAGACCTCAAATGCTAAGAGTGTCCAAAGCCACCTGAAGCATCCCACAGCACCTCAAAGGGTGTGTCATGGAAGGTCTGTCGGGATCCCTTACGAAGGATGATGAAAGTTCTTAAGAGTAATATGGTGCAAATCCCTACCAGTAGTTTGAATCTAGCTTGCTCTCAAAGGGGTTCCATCTTTTAAGACTCCCTGGAAGTCCAGGGTCCTACTTTGTAGGGCCCTCGGATTTGTTGAGGAAAGAGGCCCTAAAAAGAACATCGGCGATATCTTCCATTTAAGGTCCGATGTCCTGAAAAGAACAAGGGGGGGGCTATTTGATGGACCCTGACTGCTGGTGTTCGCTTGATTGAGGACGTTTGGCATCGTGCAATTCCAGACCTTTATTTCCCACCACATAAAATGAACACCCTCATTTATTTGCTGTCCGCTCATAGCTAGCGGCTAGCGTGAGCAAACGTAAGCAAACGTGAGCAAGCGTGAGCAAAGGTCAAGGGCACAAAACAACATCAAGAGGAACACAAAATCCCCCAGCAAAGCGTGAGCAATCGTGAGCATTGGCATGGCATCCTACACACTATTGCGCGCAATTTCTATATGAATGCGTGGACTTTTTTCAAGATTGCTCACGACCAAGGTTGTCAGTAAATTGTGGACCAAGGTTTCACAGGATCCGATATCCCCTTTGTTGGGTTTCCTCGGTTCCTCGGCGATGAAACCCCAGCAACTTCTATGGTTTCTCGGACATCGGCCTTTTTAGGACTTTAGGACCTCCTCGGCGGAGGTCCTACTTTTAAGGGTCCGTGGACTCTGAGGGACTCTTGATTCCTGACAATTCTGAAGGGCAAAAAGCGAGCTTTGATTGGCGACTCAAAGCTCGATCGAGCATTAAGATCATTAAGATGCAAACATCTCACTTTTGGTTGATTCATGGTCTCCAAGGTGGCCAGGTTGGTGTTCGCGAGGAGGAAAAAGGAAAGCATGCAAAAGAAACAAATGGGGTCAAACCCAAACCCAGACCCAAACCCAATGAAGTTAGGCTCTATCCCTGACAGTGACTCCATTTTGCCAAGGGTTCCACAAAGTGTCAATGTCAATAGTTTGTAAATAAGTCCCTCTCCAATCGCCCCGGAAAATATGGAGCCAGATTGATGGGACTTGGATCCAACACGCCCTTTCCACTCAAACAAGATCTTCTACTGCTCGTCTCATCAAGTCTCCATCCTTTAAACATCTTAAACAATTTGTTTTAATGTGGCTGTGGGTCAAATCCCTCTTTTAAAGCAGGCAGGTTGACCTGCCAGGTAGTCTATTCTGTTCATTCCCGTGGTCAACCAGGGTGTCCCGGTCTTGACCCACAGCCATGTCCGTCCACAAACAATGACTTGCCTCTTGGAAAACAGAACACGGACGCTCTTGTGTTAGTGCTTGCCCGCCATGTAGAGCTGAGAGTGCCCCGCTCTGGACGTCTGGTTGGCACTGCAGCGTCCACAGCGTCCACGCATGGCGGAACCTGAGAAGTGGGTGGGAGGTTCCAATGACGGATGTTCAAGGATCATCAACAATAAAAGGCTGGTTTTATGCCTGAAACATCCTGAAACTCATTGTTGATTTTTGTACTATTCAGCCAGTGTGCTACTCAACTTGGAAATACCTCCTGGTTGTTGTGAGAACAGGAGCTGTGGATTAATGTGTATAATATGTATATATATATATACGCTTGGCTTCAGCCCAAACTTTCTTTGGGGTAAACAAACGTTGTCACCTTCCATTTAAATTGGTTCCATGCGAGATGTGGCATGAATCAAATAGCTCCAAACAAGAGGGTCCAGCAAGCACAAAGGGCTCAAACCTTGCTGGACGGTGGAACGCGCTGAACCTTACGACATAGGACATAGACATAGGGCTCAAGGCATCTTCATGTAACTGTAACATCCTACAAGCTCTTACAGCAAAAGCTTCGAGGCAAAGCACCTTTCTTGCTGAAATCCCTGCACTTTTACTGCTGGGTCTCTGTTCTCGGGCCCGAACCAGTTCCTGTGGCTGCTCTCTTGGATGACCTGCGACTGGAAGACAAATCGAATCGGAGGACGAATGAGGACTCGACTAGGATGACTTGTCGCTATTGAGGTCTCTCTCCCAAGCTAGGTTGGAAGCTTTTAGGTTGGAAGCCATCGCTATTAGGTTGGAGGCCATTGCTTCTAGGTTGGAGGCTGACTAGTCCATGGACCGGAGTAGACTGGACCAAGGACGAACACGTCGTCCTCCACATCGACGAGTGATTTGGTCACATCCATGTGGGCACCGTCCGTAAATGCTGTACCCATAGCTACCCCAAATAAGTGCTCTTCTGACAGATTCTTATCAATTATTATATATTCAGTATTATATCAAAGTATCATCAACTCCCTGTCAGTGGAACTGTTTTCTGATAAATGAAGCACAACCATGGCAACTCCAACCTCTTCAGCTTGTGTCATACAGCTGTTGTTGTCTCTTAAATAGCTGTCCCAAATACATCTGGAGCAGAACAGTGAATGCCGCCGATCTGAAATTTTGGAACATGATGACAAACTCCGCCAATGCTAGGGTCTAGGCAAAATCCTTTTACTCGTGGGAATCTCCGCTTTGACAGACTTTGGTCAAAGGCAACGCCCAAATTCACCCTGGGCAAAAAGATCCATTTTCCCTCAGATTTGCCTGGAATAAAGGCAAGCACAAAAGAACAGCTCAGTGACTTGTTCTGGCAACCCTGCATCAATAAGAAACAATGCATCATAATGCATCCCTGAAGAACAAGTGCAAACAAGTTTCTCTGGTTCAACAACGTTTTCTTTTGACTGAAGTCAGCCAAAAACCGAAGCTTTTGTCATGGACAAATCCAAGAGCAGGCTGCAGCTGGAGGCTACTCCCCTTGCGCCAAGTTCTGCATTTCACGTGCACTCGCGACCTCTGTGACCAGTGCGACTAATGTGGCTTGGCTGTTGCAGTAGCCAGGCTGACACGGGCGCCGGTCTAAGACTGAACTAGTAGCAAGAAGCTACTAGTAGCTTCTGGCTACTAGATCTATGATCTACTAGTAGTAATGCCCTTGTTACTAGTAGTTAGTAGCGATGCCCTTGTTACTATCACCAAGGTGGCACCAGCCAGGTCAAGCACGATTGTCACTTCTCCCAGTTGGTTACAGCGAACCCTGCGGTACTCGGTAGTTGTTTGCTCACATGCAGTGTGATGCTTTACTAATGCTCACCCAACCAACTCGTGGAAATGCATCTGATTTGAACAACCTCAGAGTACTAGACGTGTATGTAGTAAACCCATCAACCTGCACGATACTTTGATACTTTGTCTGAACCACTGGGGAAGCATTGCCGGAAGCATTGCTTAGATTGGCTCTGTTGCGGTTTCACCGCTGCCAGGTACGTGTGGGCTGTTCCAGACTTGTTCACGGCGTGGGCGCATGGCGCAAGGAATCTCCAACCTCTGCACCTGATGCAACACCACCTGTGGCACCTGAAACACAACAGGAACACCCTCCCTCCCCTGTCCCCTGTCCCCTGTCCCGGGCCGGTGCACCCTGTCATTAAGCGTTTCTTGTTGCTTGCGGCCGGGCCCTGCCGGGGACAGGGGAGGGAGGTGTGATCAAACGAATGGAGAAATGCACGAATTGACTCATTTGGTTTCCGTTTTTTTGGGGTCCGGTTTAGTCCAAGACATCTGAACGAATGGACTTTGGACATGTCTACTTGCTGGTCACTTGCTGCTTCCTGCCCTTTTTCGTCTTGCCAGTGTCCCCGCCAAGGCCACCGGTGCTGATTTTAGCGTTTTCGGAGTTGTCGCTGAGTTGTACCCACCTCTACCGTAGGCACGGACATCGAGAGTGGCACCTGGTCCATGAAAGCCTCCTTGGAGTGCTCCAATCCCGAATCCCAACTCCAGTGACAGGGGTGCTGACCTCCTTTTGGGGAAAAAGCACCGTCGAGTGGTCCCACTCCGTGCAGCCGAGTGGTGGAAGCAGCCAACTGCAGAATAACTCTGAAAGTACTCGCTGTTTTCGGGCGTCGCTTGAAGCTGCGAAGCTCACAAACCTACTAGTACCAACATCCTTCCACCTGGTGTTATCCAACGAAAGCAAATTCAATTGTCGCTGCATTGCTGAGTGATACGTTGAACAATGTTATCACATGTGCGGTTCAAAACGAACCCTACAGACGAGTAATGCAAGGTCTGCTCCTCGGGCGCACAACAGGCTCACAAAGGATACCACCTGAGGGTGGCATCACAAGAGCGACACAAACCGGGGAGAAGCAAAAGGAACAAATGGGACAACATTGGCAAGACCGAAATCCATGTGTCCCAGACTTGGGGCCGAATCTATTTCAGTTTTAACCATCTATAACCCAGCCAAGAATCCATGGTCAGTCACTACCGGAACATGGAGATGTCTTTGTTCAGTCCACTTCCAAGTATCTTTCACAAGGCAACATGGGCATCATGGAATCTATCGCATGTCCACCTCATGAAGCCTCCCCATGCACCGAATGCGGAGCTAGAGATGCATCCAGTTGATCTTGAATTGTGCCGTCACAGGATTGATTTCAACAAAGGAGACCTAACCTAACCCCTCATTGTACGTAGAAATAAACATTGAACTTCGTTGCGGGAGTCCAACTCACAATGAACCTGGTTCTCTCTGGAATGTCGCATTTGCCAACCGAGGCAGCTTGGAAACATAATACAACATTTCACAGCCCAACCCCCAGCCAAAGACTACTCGGAGATTTGGCTACAAGCATTCACAAAAAAAATATGTATATTATATATATACGTATTTGTAATGACTCCTTGGTTTTTCATCAGTTGAATATGTAATGAAAATAGATCATCAGCACTGTTGCAGTTTATGGGGCACTAAAATGCCGGAGTGTTGCCTGTGCTTGTCTGAATGCCTCTTTTTCACTTACAGTAACGAGAAACTAGATGATCACCAGTGGTACATGGAACGATCCAACCCCTGAGGTAGGTGGAGCATTCACATGCAACACCGGCAGGTTGCCCCAAGCTGGTTGACCCCAAAGCAGAAATCACATGAGCAACATGGACTACCAGGGAAGTCAATCCTACAAGCTGATAGGGATGTTCATGGACCTGTCGAGGTATCATCACAAGGGCCATAAGTATTTTGGAGTCTAAATACAGCCACCGAATCCCTTCTGGAGCTCCCCGGCAGACCACACGCGGCACCAAGGGCAGTTGCAAAGGCTGTGGCTCCGCGTTCACTGCGTTAGCGTTAGCGGCGCTCGCTGCGTTTGCCGCGCTCGCTGCGTTTGCTGTGCTTGCTGCATTTGCTGCGCTCGCTGCGTGTGCCACGGCAGCAGAGAGGGGTACTGCATATGGCGGCACATGAGGTACCTGGAGGACAGGTTTCTGCAAATGCTTTGTAGTTGAGAGTTTTGTCGATAGCATGGTTGGTGGAGGTGTACTAACAACATTGATAGACAATATATGAATCTAGTATTGCCCATAGAGGACAATGCATGAGAACGTTCAAAAGATTGAACACGGTCCAATGCCCAGGATGACCTCCAAAAAGCGATTGCTGCATTGCACTTGTCAGGAACATGATCCAGGTTACTGGAAAATAGAATGTCAATTCCACCAAATTGCGGACACTCTAACTCTCAAAAGCAATAAAGCAATCCCTACATGCTTTTAGATGCACATATCTGCTGGTATCAAATCAAAAGGTAACGGTTGACGTTTGGTAAATACACTATATATAGATAAAGCGATTATGCTTCAGGAGAAAGAACGGTTTTTCTTCTTTCCGGTTCTTACAACATCTGTAAGGATCAGCCGCGGTCTAATTAGGAAGTCCATGTTGCGTAGGAAGTCTATTTGGATGGTCGATGATCACCCCCTTGTAACATCAAAGAGCGGAGGATGGACATTCGACATTCGACCGTGTGAGGTGCCGTCTGAGGTGCCGTTTGCAGGATTCTAAGGGGAAAGGGTTCTCAACCTACGACCGCGATGGTCTCCACCCTAAGGGGAAAGGGTTCTCAATGTGCAACCTGAAATGCAGAACAACTTTGGCCTAGTGGGGTATACTTTCAAATGGGGGGCTGAAATGCAAGCCTGACTGTACACACAAGATTCTCAAATCAACGAGCTTCTCTTGCCCCAAAGTTGATGGCTGAGCTTTCAATCACCCTCAATGCCATTTCCTCTGTTTGTAGACACGGCAAGATTGGAGGTCTCCAAACTCAGGGTCTCTGATATCAAAGGTGTTTGTTCGGACGTTGTCCCTGGTGCAAATTACTCACTGAGATGTACAGTCTTAGTGAAGCCCTGCGGTAGTCACCTCAACTTCTGACTGGTGCTTAGCGGGAATGGAATGATCCCTTACTATAGATACCTTAGAATCCATGCTCTCATTCGCACCAGTCTGTCTTTAAGGCTAAAATCTCTCCGCCCACTCTCCTCCTGCCTGGGCGTTGACGCCAGAACGGCCAGCCACCCATTCCACAGGCGGTGCCGGCAGTGCCGGCGGCTCCACAGCTGGCCTGGCAAGGAAGACTGAGCTGAATGTGGTTCTTCATATTGGTTCCGAAACAAAGCAAGAGCTGAATAATGCTGAATAATTAGCTAGCCCGCATGTGGCTTCTCACAAGCGATGCTTCTGGAAATGATTGGTCAAGATGAGTGGAACATAGTCTTCCAAGAATCAATTGTAGCCTTTTGTGTCTGTTGCTGTTAGACTTGCCAGATATATAGACCCTAACTAACAGTCAAAATCTTGATTTTGCCAACGGGTGCTAGGCTGAATTAGGCTGGATATACCCATGTCCGGATATTCTGAAACCATCCAGTGGTGGAGATCCTGTCATATTCTGTCCAGTAGTGGAGAAGCCAACAAAACATGGAACAAGCACCTCCCACTTGCGACTTGTTGCGAGGTCAAAAGGCTGACGACACCAAATGTCGTGGATCTAAGAATGTCTCCCACAGTCTGCCAGTGTAGACTGCATAGAGATGATTCGATGGGGGAGATTGCATC